TGATGGTTCACTTTTTGACCTCTGTAGCCTGAATGCAAAGACTAAGACAGTGCAGAAACTCCTTCTTGAGGCACTCTTTGCTGACGACTGTGCCCTCATGGCTCACACTGAAAATGATCTTCAGCACATCGTCAACAAGTTTGCTGAGGCCTCGCAACTTTTCGGACTAACTATCAGCCTTGGAAAGAGAGAAGTTCTCCATCAACCTGCACGTGGATCAAATGCTTCTGTCCCAAGTATCTCCCTCGATGGCACTCAGCTGAAAATAGTGGAGAGATGGTTAAGCACACCAAGAAAGTTGGGATTGTGGGAAAATATGGTACCCGTTATGGTGCTTCCCTCAGGAAAATGGTAAAGAAAATTGAAATTAGCCAGCATGCCAAGTATACCTGCTCCTTCTGTGGCAAGACCAAAATGAAGAGGAAAGCTGTAGGTATCTGGCATTGTGGATCCTGTATGAAGACAGTAGCTGGTGGCGCCTGGACCTATAACACCACCTCTGCAGTGACAGTCAAATCTGCCATCAGAAGACTGAAGGAATTGAAAGACCAGTAGAAGCTTCTACCTGTTACCATGATTCATACCTTCCTTCTCCAGAGTCTGAAAATCTCTACCATTCTTTTGTCAATAAAAAGGGTGTAGTGGAACAGAACCCCTTTTTTTCCTCGTCTGTTTAAATATCTGGGTAGTGTCATATCAAGTGATGGATCACTGGATAATGAGATCAATGCACGAATATCCAAAGCAAGCCAGGTACTTGGCTGTCTGCGTGTCAAAGTTTTAAATCACCATAACATCCGGATGTCAACAAAACTGCTTGTGTACAGAGCTGTTGTTCTTTCATCTCTTTTGTATGGGTGCGAAACATGGACACTATATAGGTGTCACATCAAGCAGTTCGAAGCATTTCACATGCGCTGCCTCCAGTAACATCATGAAGATCTGCTGGCAAGACAAAGTGCCCAATCTCGAGGTCCTCGAGAGAGCCCAGATGACAAGCATCGAAATGATGATCATGAAGTCACAGCTACGTTGGACTGGTCATATCAGCTGCATGGATGCCAACAGAATCCCCCACCAGCTTCTGTATGGTGAGCTCTCCCAGGGCATCCGGCATATAGGTCGTCCACGGAAACGTTACGAGGACACCATCAAAGCCAATCTGCAGTACAACAATATCAAACCTAGGGACCTTGAGGACACCGTCAGTGACAGAACACAGTGACATGCAACAGTCAGAAATACCTGCATCGCCTTTGAGGAAGACCGCTGCCGGCGTCTACAAGAGGCACGCGAATGACGTCACAGAGCATCAGCAGCGCACAATCCACTGACCGCGAACTTCCCATGCACCATCTGCAGCAAAATGTGCACCTCTAGAATTGGCTTGTATAGCCATCAGAGGGCAAACCATAAGACGAACAAGTGATGATTTGCACAGATTTGTCATCATCGGATCGGTGGACTACCAAGAACTCTTCCCTATGTGAAGTGCATCGAAGCTTTCATGTGGTCAAAAAAATTCTTAAATGGGACAAAATTGTAGCCTTCCCTCCCCCATAGCCATGGAGGACCATAATAGCAGCACAAAAATGATCAGGAGATCCTCTGTACAGAGGCTGAGCTATACGTTGAATACACAATTTGGCCTAGAGTGCAGAAATTACTTGGTACTCTACTAGATTTAATACCTCTAATTTATATTTAATTGTTATTATTACTAGTCTCATGTTCAGTGCTGCGGAATGGTTAAAAAGTGCTGGATAAATAACAGAGTTGTTGCCTAAAACTTTCTCTGAAAGATACCATGAAAAATGCAGTCATTTTGAACTATCTATCAAAAGAACAGAATTTGGACCATGTGAGTCAGATTTTAAATAGCACGTTACTCCATAAATCAGTGTAACTACTTGAGGAGTAAAGTTATATTCATTGGGGGTAAAACTATCAGAATCTGCCCCATATATGTCTGTAGGCTATCAGTCATTGTAGTATCTAGCTGATGATGTAAAAGGGCTCAGATACCCCTTAAAGAATACTCCCATGCCCAAGATAAAGGCTATGTCAAAAAAAACCAAAATCCTAAAAGAATGTTAAACTCTCAGTTGTTAAATTTGTACTTAAATTTGCCACAATATTGTTATTAAACAAGTGGTGATTGTAGCACCCATTTCTTGCTGAAAGCTGCCCAAAATATGAGCTCACCCTACAAGGAAGATGGTGGCACTAGTGTCTTGGGCAAACAAGGGCAGTCTGTTCGCTGTCTGTGTGGTGGTGCACAGTGTCTGTGGCAAGAGAGCCTTCTAATCCCTGTTCTCACAGGTTCAGTATGAAGCCCAAAGACTAACTCAATAACAATTTCTTCTGTAGAAAATAGTGCTTATTATGTTTCAGAACTGTTCAGGAATATATTTCACACGGCAACATTGACTTTCCTGATCTTCTAACTGAGATTTGAGAGCTGGATACTTTTTTTCCCTTAAAATCAAATAAAGTAAATTCTATGTCAGTTACAATGACAGTGCTGGAAGCTGACAGGCTACTTTACTCTAAAATTTTGCTAAAACATGCTTTAGGAAAACAGTACTTGTACTGCGTGTCCAGAAGCTGTCCACCTGAAAAATCTATCTGTGTACTACAGTTAGTATATGGTTTGGCAAGAAAAAACTATTTTCACAAAACTCATCTTCCCTGGCCAAATGCAGTATTAGCATACACATACACCATACACTTAAATATGCTCATTCTAAAAAGCTATGGGATTTTTTAAATATATGAACCATTGTAATTTACAACAGAAAACATGTTTACCCAACTTTCAATTTAAGCACATCACTTTACTTATAAAGCACTCCGTTTTTACCTTTCAGGAGGAGGTAAGAATTAAATAAATCCTTTCCTGTTGAGTGTAATTATAGCTGAGTAACAATATTTCTAGGATATATTTTTAATCTTAATTTTCTCTGTCATTCCATTGTTCTAGTGCTGCAATCCCATACAATGTTTCTCCGGTGTTGTATGGAATTTGTATCCACTATCTGTTCATGTTTCTGCCTTTTTTCTGGTGTTGTGACTCTCCTTTCATGTGATTTCTCTTCTCTACTTTTATTAGATGTTTGCAAGACTTTTTGCTTTGAACTGTGCAGGCTGCATTTGGGGCTGAAATGCTTGATATTGACACCTTTTTTTCCATGTCAATGTTCTCTGAAATCTACTTGACCAATTTTTCAAGGGCTCAAGGTATAGTTGTGTGCACAAATAAAAAGTAGGGATATGCCCATACAATCCAAGTACTGACTGGATGCTAACATCCTCATATAGATCTGCCAAAATTACCTATGCTATTTCTTCTTAGCATTCAAAGGGTTGCAGACATATTTTAAATGAATTCAGGTATGATAATGGGGGAAAACCTATGAGCACAAGTACATTGACAGTCCTGAGTGTGTGTGTATGTCTATATTATAACTTTATATTTTCTATATGCAGTTTAATAAAAGAGAAATTCTCACAGATACAAAAGGCCATTTCTGTTCCTCTGCACAGGAATGGAGACAAGAGATTGAGAGGCCACAAAGGAAGAGTTGACACCGTTGTGCACTGCATAATCCCCACACCACAAATGCACCTACAGAAAGAGGGTAGGAAGGAATGGTAGGCACAATTTGTGTGGATCCAATGGCCACAAATTCCACACAGGAGTTAGGATAGCAGCCTCAACCACAGGCCATAATTTGTGCATTTATACAACACCCAGAACCAATAGGCCGTAGCAATCACAGATCAGTTGGACAGATGTCTTGTACCTGGTTCCAAGCTAGGAGTAGGGGGAGAATTCCTTCCTCTCCATCCCCAGCACTGGTCCCAAGTTCAAGGCAAATTTAGACAGGCTTTGTATAAGGGAATAATAATTGGATCTTAAAGGTAATCCTGTTTGCCTGGCCACTTTCGAAAATGTAGTGGTAGCTAGTATTATATTTCCTGACTGCAACAATATAGCATGTTCATCTTACATGCCATTTACGCTGCTGGCCCATGTAACTTAAATCTGGAAACATCGCTCCCATACTGTAGGAACCTGGGCAAAATAACATGCATAACCACCAGCGCAACAAATAAAACAGAAAATCTGAAAATGTATTTACTACTATCAGGACATCTCATACATAATTATGCAGTGATCCTAAAACGAATAATCCGACTAGTGATAATGGAAAATCCAGCAATTTATAACAAACATTACTGTGTATGATAGACAAAAATGAATTACAGTATAATAAGATGCTAGTACAGCTCATCCTCATAATAAGTTTCTTCATGGGATCCAAATGACTTGTTTCTGAAAGTAGGTTAAATGTAGAGAGTGTTCATAACAGGATTATATGAAATAGGAAGCCATGTCACATCTGAGATAGTCTAATAAGAGAAAACACTAGAATATAAATGTCTTGTGCAATATAAGGAAAATTTTCTAGCAAAATTAGATTATCATCATATAACCAACTGCTGCATTAGTGAAAACAAACATCAAACAGGATTACGCAATTTGCCTGATGATCACGGACATGAAAGTCACAAATAAAATGCCGTGATCACAGTAAGTGGCATAGAACAAGCCTTTAAACAAATAAACAAACAAAATTTGTGATCAAATACTTATACTCTTCCTGAACCAAGTTCTAGCCTGGCAAACTTTGAGGGCCAGATTCTCCTGTCACTTAGACCGGTGTAAACTGGGAATAACTCCATTGAAATCAGTTGTATTACATCAGGGTGAAAACAACGAGGAGTCCAGTGGCACCGGATTCCTCGTTGTTTTGTGGATACAGACTAACACGGCTACCCCTCTGACACTTGGTATCAGGTTGAAAAATTAATCTGGTCACTAGTATTTCAGGAAGCTGGAAATGAAAATTAACCAAAGTCCCTGATGCCATCTCATTGGCATGAATGCTACAGAGTCCATCTTGCAAGTGGATCCATCCGTTTTGGTCTGCTGATAGTATGTGTTGTTTTAAGAGCACAAAGTTAGCTGCTAAATACAGGGTATAAAGAACAGAATGACAGTGACAGAAAAAAATCTAAGAATTATACTAATAATATCAAGAAAATGTTAATCAAGTGATGATTGTTATAACATTAGATAGATATTTTGTCTATATTATCAATTCAAAAGCATTTGTAACCATGGAAATTTGGAAATTTGATATACTTTACAATAATGTTTCATTTGATATTATGAGTTCTGAATCATTATGAAATTAAATGCCCCTCTGCATGGTACCTTTCTTAGTTTTAACTGGTAGCTCACGCTTTGCTTTCCCAGCAACGCCTTTTTTAAAATCAAATCAGACCTTAAGGTCAGGTCTCAGTGAACATCCTTGTTAGAGGTGGTGGGGTGGCATCCTTAAGACAATTACCACTGATCACCTCTTAATGGCTCTTCAAAACTACTTGAACATTAAAAAAAAAGGTCATACAAACCTACAGTGTGCACTTTTACAGGACTCCAAACTATAATGTGAGCTCATACATTTGTTCAGTCACGTAAATGGTTTTAGTTACTCTTGTTGGAACAAATAGGGGTTAGTTTGATGAGGGTGGGAGTTGTAATATCAGCCTTCCTGCTCTTTACAATTTTAAAGGAAATCT